CAGCTACTTGGAAGGCTGAGGTGGAAGGATCGCTGGAGCCCAGCAGGTGGAGGCTGCGGTAGCTGGGAGTGTGCCACTGTGCTCTAGTCTGGGTGACAGAGTGAGACTCCAACTCAAAAACAAACAAACAAATATATAAAAGGAGTATTCTGGAGCAAATATGGCAAAATGCAGACACTTATTAGTGGACTTGAGTGACATTTTACTTTTCTGCTTGATCTTTTCATTATTAAAGTGAAGTAAATTTGTATAAATGAGCATCCATTTCAGGTGATATACTTATGTTAGATTTCAAGAAATAGAATTCACAGCAATGAGATCTGAGTTTTTAGGCTTGGTTGGGTCTTTCCAGGTCATGATGGCCCAGGGTCTAGAAGACAGTCCTGGTCCAGATACTCCTGACGTGGAGGACTTCGGCCTCACAAAGCCAACCCGCTCAGCAGTGCCCATCGCTACTAAGAGGAAGCGAGTCCTTTGGGAGAGCCAGGAGGAGTCCCAGGACCTTGTGCCGACAGTGCCCTGGCAGGAGATCTTGGGGCAGCCTCCTGCCCTGGGAACCACCCAGGTGAGAAGCAAAGCTGTGGTGCTGTCCCTTCCTGATGGGTGTGCTACACAGCCCAAGGGGCCTGAGCTGTCCTGACCCTTGGGAGGTTGGTCACGAGAATACCTGGTCCTTAATAGAGCTTAGAAAGCATGTTGCAGCAGCGGGCACTCCTGTCTCGCCATGTCCTCATCACTGTGTTTACCGTCTGTCCAGGAAGAGTGGCTGGTCTGGCTCCGCTTCCACAAGAAGAAGTGGCAGCTGCAGTCCCGGCAGCGCCTTGCTCGCAGGAAGAGGCAGCGTCTGGAGTCAGTGGAGGGCATACCCAGGGGGGCCCTCCGAGAGGGGCCTGCCGCAGGGCTGGGGAGCTTCTTTCGAAGAACTGCCCGCAGCATTCTGGACCTTCCATGGCAGATTGTGCAGGTGTGGACCTTGGCCCAGAGGGATCCATGGCTCTACCAGTAGGGCCAGAGCAGCAGGGTCCAGCTGGACCTGAGGTCTGGGATTGAGGACGTGGGCAGGCCTATGGCCTCCTGCCTGTTGGAAGAGTCCTAACCCTTGGGCTGGGGGTGGGGCCACCTGGGAAGCGGCCCTGTGTACGGGTGTCAGGGGATCCCCTGACGTGCCGTGTGTCTGCATGTGCTTTCAGATCAGTGAGACCAGCCAGGCTGGCCTGTTCAGGCTGTGGGCGCTGATTGGTAGTGACTTGCACTGCATCAGGCTGAGCATCCCCCGCGTGTTCTGCGTGAACCAGCGTGTGCCCAAAGTGGAGGCGGGACCTTCGTATCGCAAGGTAGGGGCACTGGTGCTGATCATTGCAGTCACCCGCTCGGCAGCTTGAGTGTGGTGTCCATGTAAAGAACTGGTCAGACACAGATCTTGTAAGTGATCTGGCCTCGAGCCTCTACTTTACTGGAATGTTGTAAGAAGAATATCGAGCATGGAGCCTGGGGCAGAGTGAGTGCTCGGGGATGACAGCTGCTGATGTCACTGTCCTGATGAGCTGGTACACCAACCTCATCTGTATGGGGTCCATGATGAAGTAGACTGGGGGCATCAGGTGGAGGTACAGACTGTCCCTGAAAGCTCTTCTGTGTAACAGCTTTATTGAGGTGCAGTTCATTCACCATACAAGCCACCCATTTACAGTGATCAATTCAGTGGCTTTTGGTGTACTCCCAGAGTGGTGTGACTGTCAACATGGTGAATTTTAACACATTTTTATCACCCCAAAAGAGGCCTCGCACCCATGAACCATCACTTTATCCCCATAGCCCTAGGTAACCACTGGTCCCCTTTCTGTTTCTATAGACTTGTCTGTTCTGAGCATTTCACGTACAGTAGGTGGTTCTTGTGCTGGGCGCCTTCCCCTTTGAGGACTGTCATGTCACTGGGTGTCTGCTGTGGTGTCGCAGTCAGTTCCCAGCTAACTCAGCGTGCCAGCTCAGCCAGAGCTGATTTACTGAGGCCATGCTGTGCACATTTCTTAGCTGGAGGTTATGGATTACGTGCCACGTGCCACACAGTTAAGGAGATGAGACATGCCTGTTTATAACTAGACAAGGAGGTTTTCTGGAGGTGAAGTGGTTCAATTTCAGCCAGGAGGTTCATCAGAAGTGAGTGGGGAGGCGTGGGACCACAGGAACATGTGATACCATGGAGTTTCCATCTCTTCTTTGGATGCAGGATGGTAGTATGCTCATACAAGAGATGTCCTTACTTCTAGGGTATTTTTTTCTCTGTGACTGTCAACTCACCTCTGAAGGGATTCTCTGGCACTGTGTGAAGACCCCATCCTCAGGGTTTCCAGATGGCGTTAGCATCCATTGTTGATCCTCAGCTGGACGAGGGATCGCCTGGAAACGGGGATAAGGTCTTCTAATTGCTGTCCTTCCTTCTACGTGCCCTAGAAGAGTTCTGTGCATGTCAGTCAGAAATGAGCTCTAGTTTCTTTTTTAAAAAACAAGAGGCTGGGCTCGGTGGCTCAGCCTGTAATCCCGCGCTTTGGGAGGCCAAG